TTCTTTCTGTAAATGATTATATATTTATCTTTCCCTTTCTTTATTTTTCTTTCTTTCTTTATTTCTGTCTGTCTGTCTGTCTGTTTGTCTGTCTGTCGTTCGCCATTTGCTTTCGTTATGTCATTAGTTCTGTATTTGTTTCTTTCTTTACTTCTGTCTTTCTTTCTTTCTGTCTGTCTGTCTGTTTGTCTGTCTGTCGTTCTCCTTGTTCCTTCGTTATGTCATTAGTTCTTTATTTCTTTCATTTACTTCTTTCTGTCTGTCTTTCTGTCTTTCTTTCTTTCATTATTTCTTTCTTTCCTTCTTTCTTTATTTCCGTCTTTCTGTCTTTCTTTCTTTCTGTCTTTGTTGCTTTGCTTTCTTTCTTTATGTCTGTCTTTCTTTCTTTCCGTCTTTATGTCTTTCTTTCTGTCTTTCTTTCTTTTCTTGTATTTTCTTTCTTTCTCTCTTTCTCTCTTTGTCTCCTTCTCTTTTTCTCTTTTTTCTCTGTCTTTTGTTCTTTATCTTTCTTTTTCTCGCTACCTTTCTTTTTGTCTTGCTCGTGTTCTTTCTCTTCCTCTTCCGCTGTTCTTCTGTATTATTCTCTTCGTTCTCTTTCTCTTTCTCTTTCTCTCTCCTTTTAGGAACACAAGGAGGAGCTCTGCGCTCCTTTCCTTTTCATCTCCTTCGCACTTCACGGCTGCGGCCTAAGTGGACAGCAAACCGACGCAACAAGCCGTGATTCCGGCTGTCAGAAGTCAAAACTTTCTGCCGCGTCTAGCGCATAAACTTGTCCACCCTGTGGCACCTAATGTGAGAAAGGATTAGGAAAATATATGGAGGTAAGATGGATACTCTACTGACGTTAGGATGCACAACTTCTTGAGAGCCTGAAAGAGAAAGAGAAAGCGAGACCGCCTAAAATAGCCCAACCTCTTTTTCCTGGCGGGCTCGTGGCAAAAGCAAACAAAAAAGAAGAGGAGGCAGCTCCGTAAGTTCCACTTTTGCAGCAGGATTGACCGGGCGCAGGACTGCGCAGCTCGCTCGCGATAGACAAAGTGCGCCTGCATCACCGCAGCTCCTTTCATGGTCCATGTGCTCACAAACTCAGCCTTCTTTTCAAAACGAATCAGTTACAGGATGCTCACAGCCAATTGGTCAAGAGCACGCACGTGCTAATGTAAAATAATACTGATGTTGCTCATTCCAAAATTGTCAAATTTAACTCATCACGCATTCCCTTCGCAGGCCCAAGGAAGCTTAAGCTCCTGTTTTTTGTTTGCAGTTTGACCCGCCGAATCAGTGTCAACCCAACAAGGGCTCATCGAAGCCCTGTCACGTGACGAGGATTCGTCGAATCAGTGTCAACTTGGATCCTTGCCATCTTGGCGTGGATTCGACGAATCCGTGCTGAAACCGGCGCTTATTCGAAGGTTTCAGCGCTTGCTCGAGTGGATCAGCGCTGATCCGACACAAAAACCCTACTTTTCCTTGTCAAACCAGCGCTGATTCGCGAATCAGTGCTGAAACCAGCGCTTAAAGAAGGACTGGGTGAGTCGCAATCTCAGTCGCCAAACGATTGACCTTGTCTTTCGTCTGCTGATTCTCGTCGCTCCACTCCTTTCGCATGGAACCCACCTGACCGTTCAGTAACCTGATTTGGTCAGCAAAAATATGGAACGCTTTTGCGACTGAACCAGACACCTCACCCCTCTCGAGCATCTCCTGGATGTGCAAATCAAACACCTCCTTTGCCCTGGCGTCACCTGACTCACCGGAAGAGTGTGACCTGTGTGCTGGAGGAGTCGATATCTCGATCCTCTTAGGAGCCCCACTAGCTTTAGCATGTCTTCTGGGGTCGCCTACAGGACTATCGCCAATCCTGGATGGCCTACTCGGGGTAGATCCCCTTCTCCGGCTATCGCCAGCTCGGGGATCAATATTAGATGCACGAGACTCGGGAGTGGAGTGGATATGAACATCAGCAGGATCGAACATCTCCTCATCCTGTTGAGTTGAACCTAACGGTGAAGGGCTAGCCCTCCTCGCCTTCGACCTATCGGTCTCAATGGCCAGGGGTGACGGCCTCTTCGCAGAAGCACTACGCTCCCTGGCGGTCGATCCCCATTGAGGTGTGAACTCGTTGCTGGACCTAAGCGTTTCGATGTCACTGGGATCTCGCCCTAACGGGCTAGCGATCGACGGACGATCCTCGATTCCGAGTGCATCGGCAAGCCGACCATCTCTCGCACCTGTCCCAACGACATCGGCAGCCCGCTCAGTGATCCTCGGCGAACCAGTAACCCGGTTCGAGTTCTCGTCTCTCTGATTCAACGGACCTCCAAATGTAATGTTGGGAAAGGGGGGAACATTTGGGGTATCATCAATCACTGGGGGACCCTGTCATGGATGGCCTCCAATCCCCGAAGAACTTCCCGGCTATCCCTGGCTCTCTCTCTCTCGCTCCGGGCGTCCCTGTCAACACGAAGGTCCCTTTGCTCCACGAGAGAGACTCCTGGGCCTCGCAGCAGCACGGATCCTAGCATTCCGGCGTGATTGGTCCTCTTCCTCATCACGACGATCCGCAAATGCGGCATATTCATCATCATCATCGAAATCAAACTTGGCAGTATTGGGGTTGGGCCTATCGGCATCAGATCCCTGCTTTGAGCTACTGCCCCAGCCTGCGGTTGATTTCAACAGAGCATCGTATCCGAAACCTGTGAACTTCCGCTCCTGGATTTTGAGAACCAGTGGATCGACCCGAGATATCTCTCGGAGCCAAAACCATAGTTCCTGGTCCTTGCGGCCTGTCCTCAAACTCATCCGAGACCTGCGATTCACCTGGAACAAGAGATCTCGGGGGTCGGGTCGGCATGGCCTCCGGGTCGTCCGAATGAGGGCGGGCCATGTTCATCGCCATGCTGATGAAGTCGCTGTCTGTGACCTGATTCAGAGCCGCTCCTATCGGAGCGAACCCTTCGTGTCTGCTCATCATCAGTGGCCTGACGGAAAATGCGATCGTCTCCATCGTCGGTGTACCTGCCACGGCTCCTGGGTGTGTCCCTACCGGGATCTTCACCCCTGCGGTCCTGACCTGCCGAACCTGCTTCGAAATCCTCATAATCGAAGTCCGGTAGGTCCTCACCTGAGAGGCCCCCTATAGGATGGCCTCCTCATCCACGACACTCCTGTGTGATCGTGGGGTCGACATAGAGCTTGTAGTTGATGGTCTCAAGCGCGTAGGAAAGTCCTACGGCTGATAACCTGTGATTCGGGCACGAGCCTGTGCCCAGGCAATGGGTAAGTTGGGGTAAACAAGCCACAAAAGAAAGGTTCCCCAAAAGCAAACCAATCCCCGGTCCCAAAGATCAGGGTTTCCCACACACCAGAGAACAACAACCAAAAGGGAAATACCAAAACAAGTAAACAAGTACCCGCAACCTTGATCGACGATGAACCGCACGGGCGGACCCCACCAATCTGCCCCGGGCCGATGTCTCTTTCTCCACCGACACGAAGGTGATCGACGCGGGGACCCGGCGACGCTCATCCGAGGCGCGACGGACCCGCAAACTTGAGCCAAAGTGGCACCGGATGGTTGCTATCGCAACATGCCGGTAGTCACCTGAAATGCATGGCTAATCACAGATTTTGAGCATGATGCGCCAAAATCTGAAAAGCAGCAGGGGGTTGAGGGGGGGGCGGCAGCCCCCCCATGATGTTCCGAAAAGTGTTGATTTTTCAGGATGATGCTGCCAACGCCAAACAAACAGAAACAGGAAATCAGGACACCGTGAAACCAAGAAGCCGGAAATCAGTGATAATTAACAAGATAGCTAGGAAATCAAGACACTGGAAAACCTGAAAACCAGGACTGCAGAGAACCTAAAAACTAGGCAGCCGGAAAACCAGAAAACAAGAAGACCAGAAAGCCGACAAAGACCGAAAACCCGAAAACACCCAAAACGAGAAAGACAAGTACCACAAAACCATAAAATCGGAGAGCTAGAAAACCGAAAAACAAGAACCGCGAAAGCCACAAATCCTAAGACACCCGAAGCCAGAAAACCGAAAAACCGCAAAACCGAGAAAGCAAGAACACCAGAAAACCCGGAGAAAAAAAAGAAAACCAAAATAATAATAAAAAAAACACAAAAACCAGAAACCGGACAACCAAACACCAGAACACCAAACAAACCCGGGAAACCGGAAAACCAGCAAACCACAAAACCAGGAAACCAGAAAAACCAGGAAAAAACAGACAAACCAGAAAATCAGGAAAACAAGAAGAAAAAGAATAATAAACAAAAACAGGGAAAAAAGGAAACCAGGCAACCAGAAAACCAGAAAAACCACAAAACCAGACAACCAGCAAAACCAAAAAACTAGAAGAAAACAACAAACAGAACACCGGGAAACCAGAAAACCAGGAAACCAGAACAACCAGGAAACCAGAAAACCAGGAAACCAGAACAACCAGGAAACCAGAAAACCAGGAAACCAGAAAACCAGGAAACCAGAAAACCAGGAAACCAGAAAACCAGGAAACCAGAAAACCAGAAAAGAACCAGAAAACCAGAAAACCAGGAAACCAGAAAACTAGGAAACAAAAAAAACCGGAAAACAAGGCACCAGACAACCAGAAAACCAGAAAACAAGGCACCAGAAAACCAGAAAGCCAGAAAACCAGGCACCAGAAAACCAGAAAGCCATGAAAGCAGCAAGCTTTAGGGTCGACGCACACGTTCCGATTCGAGGTGGCGGCCAAGTCAGGGCCCTTCATCGTAGTAAGCTGACTATCTCAGTCTACCAGGTGTGCTTATTGGATAGTGTGCGGATACTGTGCCCAAGCGAGCCTTTACAAAATGAATGAGTCACACTCAAAGCCTGAGCCTACCCAAGCCTAAAAGAGAACCAAACGGGTGCAACCCATTTTGGCTGGGACCGCTCCCTACATTTCACCTATCGACCCATCTAACTCGAGAGGTCCCAACCCCGTCCGATTCCTGGCGCGTCACAGGTCCAAGGCCCGCTGCCACTCCCCAGAGTTCTCCATGGCGCTCACCACGGAGCTCCAGCCTCGGCTCAAGCCAAAACCACTCAGGCTGCTTCCGAAATGATGGCACATAGAACATGCATCTACATTTTACGTACATACACATTGTCATGTGCGAGTCTGTCTATGTATATACATATATGTGTACATCAGCAAACGCCAGCTGCAAGTGCTTGTGCTTGCCCCAGAGCTGAATCGTTTTCTAGGGCTGGTGCGGGCCACGGCGCAGGGGCAACATCCCTGGCATAACCTGGACCTTTTGCCCCTCATGTTGGTAGGCTGGCGACCTGTGCATGTTGAGTCGCAGGCTTACTTGAGGCCGGTAAATTTGCAGGGGCCTGGAATTGTTGTGGTTGAGGCTGTTTCACAGCTGAGTTAGGATGCCTTTTAACATGGGGCTGGATTATGCTCGCTTAGAGGCTGGTATTGGCTCAGCGACACAGCTTTGAGATGCCAAAGTAAAGTGTCTAGGTTAGGATGGTTTAAGGCTGGTTTAGAGATGCCTAAGGAGTGGAATGCAATTTGTCGCTGGCTGGGCTTTCGGCCAATCTGCTTGGCTCTGCCAGAGGTGTTGCCACCCATGCCTTGTGGCCCATGGACGAAAAGAGCGAGCGACACGCTGCAACCAACCAAGCGACCGACCGATCAAACAACCAGTGACACCATCCAGCAGCCTTTTGGCCACCCACCACCGACACCAGCCAATGCTAAGTCAAACTTTGGTTGCTATGAATATACATGTATATGTGCATACTTGCAATACTTGGCAATCCATACTCGTTCAGTTTGTTATTGAAGGGGTAATTCTTGGGCCCTTGGGCCATGTCCACCTGGTCAGAATGGCATCGGAGTTTCGGCCCAGGAGCTCACCACATCGCTCCGCAGCTGCCCCTCCATATGCTGCAGCAGCAGAAGCGCCATCTGCCACTTCCCAGCTCTTTCGCAGGCACTCAGAGTGGAGTTGTAGCCTGGGCTGGAAAGGCGACCCTTCAAGATCCATTTGTTTGCCAGGCTTCGGGATGGTGGTTCTGGCTCGGAAGGCTGCGAGGACTTTTTACCCAATCTTGAAAGTTGGGAGGAGATCCGCATACGATCACCTGTCGTTTTACGAATAGATCTGGCAATCCAACTTCTGCAGGCTGGAGTCCCCAAATTCTTGACAGCCCGTTGAGAATCGTTTAGAGACGGCACTGGGAATTAGGCAGTAACGCCTCACCAGTCCAAGGCCCAAGCTAAACATGGGCCAACGCTGGGACACAAAGAGGTCATCAGGGAGGCGTTGCGCAGCCAAATGCTTGGACGACTCTTGGACGGGACTTTGGCGAAACCATGGGCACTGCGTTCCAAGGATGGGGAGCTTGGGTTGTCAGATTGCTTGCTACCAGTCCTGTGGGTCGGATACGTGATGACCACGCCGAAGGAAAATGATGGCAAGGCCGAAACAAAAACAGCAAAATACCCACGTCGTCCGTGACTGCAACAGTCCTTGAGTGCCACCACTGCCCGTCTCAGGTTGCCACTTGTCACAACTAAAAACTGTTCCAATATAGCTGCCTTGACCAACCGAAATGGCAATCTCCGTGGTTGCAACAAACGATGACATAATGACATGGCAAGTTAACTCCTTCCATCTGCGTTTGTTGAGGGTATGAATCGCGCGAGGCGGCACGAATCTTGTTAAGGAGATGCCTTACTACGTGATTATGCCCGCAGCTCCAGCTCGAGTGTCGTAACTATTCAGTTAAGTGCAGAAAAGGGGTGGCTGGACCCGGGCTGAGGTTGGCTATGCAACGACGTATGTAACGATCCAACTCTTCTTCTGAGAGGCAAGCCCTCTGCAAGTTGACTCGGCACAGGTATGAGCATGCTTCACAAAAGCCCCGCTCTGCAGGCACCCTGGGAAATCCCTCAGAGTCTGGGTGCATGACAAGGGGGGCTGTAATGGGACAGCAGGTCTGGATACATAGGGTATGTAACAGAGTATGTACACAACGAATGTCCGCCGCAGGCCTGGTACATACACTCAAACAATCGCTGCCATGGGGTGTCACAACCAGGCATATGCGGTCACAAACGACGTTCGTTGCCGCTTTTCACAGAATTAAGTTTAGATATGAGCACAGAACATAACTAGGGATCGTTCCAAGCTTGCTTTGGGCAAATAAACATCCTGGCCTGGCCTGGCAGTCAATTCTTTCACCAGACTCAGAGTCAGGCTGCTGATCGCATCTGGCACCAAAGAGGACGAGTGGAAGTTAAGCAGCACCTTTGCAGCGCAACACATGGAGCCACACTTGTCAAGCTGCGGGGGGCTGGTTGTGTTCGGTGTTACACTGCTCCAAACGAAACATGTCCGCATAAATGTCCCGACTATGGTATTTGAACTCATGCCATCCTCTAGGTCTGTGACTTTCCAAGTCAGCTGTAAAGGAGCAAGCACGCAAACAAAAGCCGGCATGTGTTTGGTTGAATAGCCTCTGCCCGAAACTGACTGCACCAGCAGTTTTGCGGCGCGCTTGCAGCTGAGTGCTGTATCCGTTCGAACCATTTTAGGATGAGCAGCGGATTCTTCCAAGTGAAATGAAAGGTCGAGCCTCGAATTCTCTCACTTGCCGTGGGCCTCCCGCTTGTTTGTTTGTATATGTGTGTGTGTGTGTGCGCGCGCGCGTCTAGCTTGTTGGTTTTGCTTTTCACGCGTCTATTGCTATGCAATCCCACAAGAGGCAAGGCTCTGCAGCATTCATTTGAGTTTGTGGAAGTTCAGAGACCGCACGAAAGGGAAACTCAAACTCAAGCGAGGTGGAACATGAAACGACTTCAGGAAATCGCCACAATCGTACTTTAGTCTGACAATATGTTCTGAAAATATTTTCATATTTTAAGAATCACAGGCCTGATGTTAGGGACCTCACGAGAATCCCCCCTAGCGAATTTCTTAACCCCCGGTGAGGGCACCAGAATTCACGCAAACTTGTGCTCACCTAACTACTTCAGAAGAAACCAAGTAGATACCAGCCCTTGCCACACCTTTGTCGGTGTACTAGGCTCGGGCATTTTTCATTCAGAGTCTGGTTAAAATATTGCTGCAATCTTCAGCATTCCCTCAACAATGACCCACTGAGCTGCACCCAAACCTCATTGGCAATGATCGTTGCCTTGTTGCTGTTGTTTTGGCAAAGATGATGACTCCAAAGGTTGTGTGAACTTACTTTGCCAAACATGTTGCATGAATTGCTCCGTCAACCGTTGGTGTACTCCATGCTTGTCGCAAGAGCTCACTGGGCAATGCAATTTTCTGCCATAGCCACCAAGCCACATGCAGGGCCAGCTGCCACTGCTGACCTCTGGAACACGCACTGATCACTGCGCTGTTGGTGATCACATTGCACACGGAGCCCTGCGCTGTCAAAGCACGGTCAGCCTCTGTTTCCTCACGTCCTTATAAGCATGCTCCACATGATGATGAATACGACTGGGGGGAATTGGACACTCGAATTTCTAGGAAGCACCCTGGCTACCAACCAACCAACAGCCCACTTGCCAATGTAGCTGCGGTCCCCATGCGGTCCCCAAACCCCCAATCCCATTATTCTGAGAGAATGCTCTGGTCCCTTGTTAGACAAGGTAGACGTTTTTTTCTACACAGGTAATTCTTGTCGATTGGGCTGTTTCCTCCATATCGACTCTGAGCATTGCTCCTTGCCTCGTGCAACGCCAGTGCCAAGGTCCACTCCGCCGCCTTCTCCAAGCTGCTGAGTACTGAGCCGAGGGCCACCACGGACTCAAGGCCCTGCGCAATTCAAGGGAATGGCTTTGTCGCAGGCCTTTGGCCTAAGGATGCTGCATTTGGCCCCTTGCACGTGTCTCGGGAAATCAGCGGGGCAGCGCTTCAAAGCATGGCCCCTATTCCGGGCAAGGGGGGTTGCCGGCACGGGGTGCCCGCCACGTCAAACTCAAACAGCCTCTCGTGCGCTATGAAGTGAAACCGCACCAACCACAACGAAAGTCCAACAGCCAAAGTGCATAGCTCACTTGCTGAGTGGATGGCCCAAAAAAGTCCAAACTTTACGTTTACCGCTAAACTGGTCTTCCCAAAAAAACTTAAAATTCGTGAGCCCAGGAAGTAAAATAAGCTATAGGTGCAGCCAGCCGACGCCAAAGCGAAACCCCGGCCGTTCGACGACCGATGCCTCAGCGAGGCAAAGGGCGTGGTGCCAGCGGCTGGCCTTCTCACAGGCGCCCACGGCGGCGTTGCGGCACGCAGAGCCGGGGTCCAGTGCCGCCCATGCGTCCATGGCCTGCCCGTATTTGTAAACATGCATACATGGATGTATGTATATATACCTAAATTTATGTATATATGTATATATATATACATATATGGTTATGATTTTTTTGAGGGTCTGTAACGCGCGACGCGCCACGAATCTGGTTACGGAGGTCTGTAACGGAGGTCCTTGTTAGGCAGGTCTGTGACGGGAAACAATCTTGACAATTACCAGTATCGGTAGCAATGCAGCGAAAGTCGCACAAAGCACGGCCCTTGATGTTGCAACTGCCGACACAAAGCCAAGATATGGCAAAAAGGGGGGGTGCTGCTCAAGCTGGGGTTGGCAGGTATGTAACGGCAATGCAACAAGGCCTGTAAGGAGGCAAAGCAAAGCGCAGCACGCAAAGCCCGCCTCCGCAACTCCAACTTGATTGCAGCTATCCAACGCAAGTCAAGCTGCGGCAAACAGGGGGGTTGCTGGCCCGGGCTGGGGTTGGGTCTGTACGAGGTATGTAGCGGCTACGTAACGAGGTCTGTAACGAGGCAAAGCAAAGCGCAGCACGCAAAGCGCGCCTCCGCAGCTCCAGCTTGATTGCAGCTATTCAACGCAAGCCGAGCTGCGGCAAGAAAAGGGGGGTTGCTGGCCCGGGCTGGGGTTGGGTCTGTAACGAGGCAAAGCAATGGGTGTTCTGACGCTGGCCGTCAAACGCGAGACAGATAAGTGGGCAGTTCACAGTGGAGGGAGCCAGCACAAGACAACTTGGCCTTGTCCTCCCTATCATGACCGTCCATGACTTTGAATCTGCTGGGCCTGGCGACGAGGCGTTTCTGCTGCTTCACCACCATGGGCACTGTGTCCCTGGCGCCACACTGTTTTTTGGTTTTATGCTAGCAGGTTATGTGTGCGCGAAGAGAGCTACCAAGGCTTTGCCAGGCCTTTTGAACAAGCGTGCGCCCAGAAAGCTTGGCGTTGCGATTTGACTGCCAGGGCAGGGGGCCATTCTAGACGACAGAACGAGCATGGCCCTTCCTTTTCAGAAAGCTGGGCGGCAGATCCAGACATTTCCCCGAAAGTAGGCCTCGTTCCATAGCTGTTACACACGTGCTACAGACCCAACCCCAGCCCGGGCCAGCAAACCCCCACTCTTTGCCGCAGCTTAGCTTGCGTTAGAATAACTGCAATCAAGCTAGAGTTGCGGAGGCGCACTTTTGCGTGCTGCACTTTGCCTCGTTACAGACCTCTTCACACAGCTGTTACACACCTTTTTTGCCGCAGCTTGGCTTGCGTTCAATAGCTGCAATCAAGATGGAGCTGCAGAGGCGTGCTTTCCGTGCTGCGCTTTGCTCTTCGCGCTCTGCGGCGCGGCAAATTCAGACATTTGCTGGCAGAAGGTGTCATCCTCCATCAACTTGCCCGCTGCTTGTCCTGTGTTGTCCTCAGCCACAAGCCTCAGGCAGTCAGGCGTGAAAGTCTTCTCCAGGCACGCCGGCCAAGTCTTTCGCACTTCTCTCACTGCAATAGTAACTCTGTCTTCATGCCAGGTCACATTGTGGAACCTGTGTCAAATTTCTTAGGCGGGTCTTGTCCTGGCTGCGCTGGTTCAACAACTTGGCCAGACTCTGCCTCCTTCAGTCTCTCCACTCAGCCCCTGCCCAAGAATGGGCGCGTGTGCGAGCGCGCGCTTGTGTCTTTGCACTTGCGTCTTGGGTGTGTTTGTGTGCGTGGCTGCGGGTCTGCGCCCGCGCTTGTTTGTTCGTGCTTCCAACCAGTTTTGCCCAGCAGCTTCGCCACACTTCCTCCATTTGCAGCTGGTCAGCACTCAGCGGACGGCCGCGTCTCTCGTACTCGTTTGCCAGGGTCATCAAAAGTTCCTCCTTATCATGCCTTAGGGAGGCTGTGCAGAAACCGCCCCAGCCCTTGAAGCATTGGCGGCTGAGGATCTGAGGATGCAGTCCCTTCTTGCTAGCAAGGCGCGTTGGCAAAGAAGTGTCCGGGAGAACGCCAAACATCACATGAAGGTATTGGCCTAGCCGCAGCTTCCATGGACGGGTGCCGGTTGCCCCCCGCTGTCGCCAGAGGTCTACATCCATATGACACAAGGCCACATGACGCATTGGTTGAGCTCTTTCTTCGCCACATGCTCCATCCCAACACTGCATTGCCAACAAGCACCTTTGCTTGCCCCAGGTGAGGGCCACGCATCGATGCTTCTCTGGACAAACTGTTCTTGGGCCTCTTCTTCTTCCCTCCTCCTCGTCTTCTCCTCCTTCTCCATGGACTGCTTGTCCGTCAGAAGCTGCTCCTCCTGGCCTTGGGCTTCTCTTGCCCTTGGTCTTGGGAGCCGCACTACTCTCAGAGGCATGGGGGGTTGCTGGTCCGGGCTGGGGTTGGGGTCTGTAACAAGGTATGTAACAGCTATGTAACGAGGTCTGTAACGAGGCAAAGCAAAGCGCAGCACGCAAAGCACGCCTCCGCAGCTCCAACTTGATTGCAGCTATTCAACGCAAGCCATGCTGCGACAAAGGCGCTGGCCCGGGCTGGGGTTGGGTCTGTAACGAGGTATGTAGCAGCCACGTAACGAGGTCTGTAACGAGGCAAAGCAAAGCGCAGCACGCAAAGCAAAGCAGCTATTCAACGCAAGCCAAGCTGCGGCAAAAAAGGGGGGTTGCTGGCCCGGGCTGGGGCGGGGTCTGTAACGAGGTGTAACAGCTGTGTGAGGAGGTCTGTAACGAGGCAAAGCAAGGCGCAGCACGCAAGCACGCCTCCGCAGCCCCAGCTTGATTGCAGCTATTCAACGCAAGCCAAGCTGCGGCCAAAAAGGCGGGGTGCTGGCCTGGGCTGGGGTTGGGTCTGTAACGAGGTGTGTAGCAGCTATGTAACGAGGTCTGTAACGAGGCAAAGCAAAGCGCAGCACGCAAACCACGCCTCCGCAGCCCCAGCTTGATTGCAGCTATTGACCGCTAGCCAAGCTGCGGCAAAAGTTGGGGGTTGCTGGTCCGGGCTGGGGTTGGGTCTGTAACGAGTCGAGGTATGTAACAGCTATGTAACGAGGTCTGTAACGAGGCAAAGCAAAGCGCAGCACGCAAAGCACGCCTCCGCAGCTCCAGCTTGATTGCAGCTATTCGACGCAAACCATGCTGCGACAAAGTCACTGGCCCGGGCTGGGGTTGGGTCTGTAACGAGGTATGTAGCGGCTACGTAACGAGGTCTGCAACGAGGTCTAGCCCCTATTTCAACTTTGATCAGCTCTCTCTGCAAGTTGGCTCTGCAGCAAAAGCATGCTCTGCAGGCACCATAGGAATCACTGAGAGTCTGTGCATGCATTGGGGTATGCAACGAGGGGCATGCAACCAGCCAAGCGTTTGTGCAGCTGAGGTGTGTAACGAGGGTGTGTAACAAGGGGTGTGTAACGAGCCAGCGGGTCTTGTTACAGAGGTCTGTAACGAGGTCTGTAACGAATGTCCGCCGCGGCTCTGTTACAGACCCCTCAAAAAAATCACGGCCATATATATATATATAATATATATATATATTATATTATAAAGTACATAGATTTGGGAGCGCATGGCGGGAGGGCTCGGGCAAATGGCCCGCGAAAGGTGCACCTGGGCTTTGATGCCCTCTATCAGTAACGTCAAGGGTCTCGCACGCTGGGAGGAAGCAGCGGGATGATTGAGGGAAGGTCACAACTAGCTGTCATTCGTCACGCCACTCTGAGAGGTTTACACGTAGGTGAAAGAAGGGTACTGTGCAAGACATGAGGGACAACTATATGTGTAATATGATGAACAACATTGTGTATGGTGTCCTGCATGGCACAATTGATGAGCAACCAACTTGCAGCACTGATCCTCAATCGGACAATCGAATGGGTTCTGGCAACACATGTGAATTATTCATCCTAATTGGATTCCTTGAAGCCAAGCTAACCACCCTTTGCTGCCTTTAACAATTTGGTACGTTGTCCATCCCGCACTGCTTCTTTTTTGATACACCATCCATCCCTTGTGATTTCCTAAAGGGACATGATACTTCTCGTATTGTTGCCTGTTGGATACATGTTAAGGTGGATACATGTCAAACATACGGGTTGTTCATTGCCCAGTCTTCGAGCTTCCAGCCATGCCCCTTGAGTCTCGCCTGCAGCGCTCTGCGCCAGCGCTGTGCAACGGCACCAATGGCAGCGCTGCAAAGGTGCGAGTCGCAGCTGGTGGTCTGAGACAAACACAAAGGGAGGCGAGTGGACGCGAGTCAAATCTGGGACTCCCTGGCGTTTTTGAGTGTCACGGGACTGGACAAGAACCAGCGTGAGACCAATCACTTTGGAATAGTTTTTGTTGACACATACCCTAAGTTTTTGAGATCCCCCTGTAAGCTTGTGCCGCCATTTCCTCCTGGTCAATTGGTGAGCCAACAGCAACACAACACATGATGAAGTTTGATCGCTGCTAAAGACCTTTTTGGTGACATAGCGACATGCTTGAATCATGCCACATCATGATTTGTGTTGTGATGAGTGTCTTGCTTGAAGCGCTGCCTTGGTTCACTGACAAAATCGTCTGTCTTGGCATGTTGTCTCTTCCCGCCTTTCCATCTGGCTGTCTGTGCCCGTCCATTTCAATGATGTATATATATATATAGGTATATGTACGTACATATGTACTATACACATGACCCTACCACACAGCGCACATATCCCGCTTGGTACCAAATGGTTGTGATTGCAGAGACGTGTGCAGGCATTGGCTGTAGATCCCGATCCAGTGAGTAGAACCTGAGCTGCTCCGTTGCCCTTTCCCCGCCTGGACAGAAAGCAGGCCGAGCGCCATTGGCCATTGGTCACTGATTGCGCCTATGGCACTCAGGCAGCAAACTCTTCCCGGGCTCGTAGACTCCTGAAGCAACTCGTCGTCGTTTGAATCGGATAGGATATGTTCATGCCAAAGCTTAGAAGTGCTGGTGAGGTGGTGGTCCGTGACAGGTAGATCAAATTTACATGAAAGTCAGCCTAGCTATTCACATGAAAGTCAGGTAGATTTGAGTTGCAGGCATTGCGTCAGACTAAACCGTTGCTTAGGAACCAGCTTTGCATGACGTCTCCAAAGCCCAGCTCTCCTTGAATGGCATCAAAGGGCACTCCCTTTAGCATGCAAGCATCAGTTGAAACAAACCTAGCCTTGACTATCGGGACGCCCAACAATTTAACGCACAGACACGTCGAAATGACAAACATGACTATGTGCAGGCCTTTCTAGCAATCATACTATCTAGCTTGTCCATCAAGTAGCCCTGGTCAAGTGTGAGCTGGAAGATACTACAGTGGCTCGGTCATTTCTTTGCATATGTTGGCAATTGCATGCATAGCCAAACTGCTCAAGCTAGCTCACATTGCACACGCGCAAGCAGTATTTGATTCTGTTCTCCTCTAGAATTTGCGCCGCCATTCCTTCCAATGCTCAAGGCAGCCTTGCAAACAATCCCATAAGGTCGGAAGTCTGTTCTAGCTCTGGCTCTTGTCATACGCAAAGCACAGCAATTCCCCAGCTTGTCATTCCCAATGAACCATTTCACTACAGACCGCCCACCTGCAAACACTGCTCGCAGCCTCGACACCACTACCATTCGAAAGTGACACATGCATACACATATTTTTCCACAGACACAAACCAAGGAAGTCTTCAAACGTCCCGAAAACGGCGGTTCATGACTTCTGGCTGGCAGTTCAGTGGCCTTACCTTTTCGGGGGCTTGCCTTTTAGTGTGACCCCTCCTGTGAGGGAATTACAACGTCACTCAGCCAGCATAGTCAAAGATACCTACGGCAGGTGCCCCCAGTCATGAAGACTGTGCGAGTTCTTTTCCTGACGTGCGCTAAGCGGATTTTGCAACCGAAAACGCGAAAACGCAAAAACCGCGAAAACCACGAAAACGGCAGAAAACGCGAAAACCGAACACCAAGAAAACCACGATAACGGCGAAAACCGCGAAAACGACTTTCGCATGTTTGCTCAATGCCAACTTTCGCGGGGCATAACCCTTTGAAAAGGCGGCAAACTCATCCCATATTCTGTCTATTCATTTATCTATCTATGTATCTATCTATCTATCTATTGATCGTATCTTTTCTATCTATCCTATTTATCCTATCCAGATAGCACATCTATAAAATCGTTCATAGCAGTCCTATTCAACTCATTGTATCTGTCTTATCTAGATTGTCCATCTTATCTATCTGATAAATATCATGAGTCCTATCTACCTTGTCTATCATATCTATCATATCTATACTATTTACCTTATCTATATTCCCTACCTTATCTTATCTTATCATATATTATATTGCTTTATGCTATCTTAGCCTGTCTTATCCTATTGTATCCTACCTTGTCCAGTATTATCCCCATGTTGGCCTATCTTACCGTGTCTTACCCTGTCTTAGCCTATCTTATCCTATGTATCGATCGATCCATTTGTCTATATCTCTACCTATCTCTCTATCTTATCCTGTCTTATCCTACCCTAACCCTGTCTTATCCCATCTAATCCTATTTTCCTATTGTATCCTACCTTGTCCTATCGTATTCTATCTTATCCTGCATTAGCCTTACTATCCTATCTTATCCTATCTTATCCCGTCTTACCCTCTCTTATCCTATCTGATCCCATGTTATCCCACCTTATCTTGTATGTTGCGGCATGTTCCTACCTTATCCTATCTCTATCGATCTATCTACCAACCTCCCCACTTCCCCACCCACCTACCTATCCTATCTATCCTATCTGTCCTATCTCTCCGATCGTTCCCATCTATCCCATCTATCTTATCCTGCCTTATCCTATCTTACCATATCTTATCTCATATCGCCCTATCTGATCCTATCTGTCTATCTATCTATCTACCTAATCTATTTATCCTACCTTTTCCAGCTTTCCTATGTATCTCATCGTGTGTAGCTTATGAATCGTTTCTAGCCTATCTATCTGATGTGTCGTATGTCTTTTTTACATTATCTACCTTATCTATCATGTCTATCCAATTTAACTACCTTGTCTACCTTACCTACCTCCATACTATCCTGTCTTAGCTTCTTTAGCGTATATTATCCTATAATATGTTATCTTATCATGTCTTGTTCTAACTTATCCTACCTTACCCCATGTTGGCCTATCTTACCGTGCCTTATCCTATATTATCCTGTTGTAGCGTATCTTATCCTATGTATACATCTATCTCTCTATCTATTTATCCACATCAACATATACATATGTATATATATATATATGTAAAATCATTTATTGGCCTTTTTTATCCTATCATATCCTGCCTTATGCTGTCTTATCCTGTCTTATCCTACCTTACCCTATATTCTCCCGACTTATCCTAGCGCATCCTACCTTATCCTGTGTATCGATCCATCTATCTATCTTATCCTCTGTATCTATCTACACATCCATCTATCCATCCATCCATCCATCCATCCATCTATCTATCTAAATATACCTAAACGCCTACCTATCTATCCTATCTATCATATCTATTCTGTCTTTCCTGTTTGTCGCATCTCTCACTATCTTGTTCCATCTTATCTACCTGATCTATCTTGTGTGCCCCCATCATATCTTCACGGTCTACCTTATCTTGCCTGCGTTATCTTAATCTTATCATACATTGTCCTGTCTTATCTTATTTAAACCTATCTTATTATATCTTATTTTGTCGTATCCTATCTTGTCCTGTCTTATCCCATCTTATCCCATGTTGTCCTATCTTACCGTGCTATGTATCTATCGATTTATCTATCTATCTAATCTAATCTAATCTAATGTATCTATCTATCTAATCTAATGTATCTATCTATCTATCTATCTATCTATCTATATTTATCTATCTATCTATTTATGTACCTACCTATATCTTATTTCTATGACCGCTGGTGCTCAAAACACAAGATCATTAAGCATACTATGAAAACCGCGAACACGCGAAAACCGTGAAACCGCAAAACTGCGAAAACCGCAAAACTGCGACAGCCGCAAAACTGCGACAGCCGCAAAACTGCGAAAACTGTGAAAACCGCGAAAACGTAGAAAAAAAGAGGAAACATGCGCAACGCAAGCATGGGAGAACGGTGAAAAGGCGCAAGCTTCAAGGAAAAAGGCGCAAGCCACGAAAGCCAGCAACGGAGTTTTCTTGTTTTCTCGGTTTTCTCGGTTTTCTCGGCTTTCTCCGTGTCGCTTAAAACGATTGCCTAGCATGATGAGACCGCTGCAAAGTGGTGGTCAATCACTGTGGCCGCGGTGGCTTCGACAGCTGCTTTCGTCAACGCCAATTGTGCCCCAATCCCGTCTTGTGCGTTGATGTCTTGGAGTCCTGCAGCATGGATGTCAGCAATGCTGCGCTCATCCACCACTGGCTGCCATCCTCGAATCTGCCAAGAGCAGAGGCATAGCTGATGACATCCAACCTGAAAGATGAAATCGAGCGCCGGGTTTCGCATATCTGCCCTCGAGACAGCATCACATCCAATACAAGCTCGCTGAATATGCTCCCTTGGGGTCTGGCTTCAGCTTGTCTCAAAGCCGAGAATGAGACATTGCCTGAACAAAAGATCGCAACAAATGATGTGTGTCCCAAAAGCGGACCGAGAAATTGGCGTCCTGGCGCTTTCTCCAAAAGGGGGGCTCCTGCACTCTGAGACAGCCAAATGAATGCAACACTAGCGGCAATCGCCACGCCTGCGCATGGCAGATCTGTTTCTCCAGGGGATGTTTACGCCTAATTGCGACTTAAGAGCCGTAAAGTCCCGAAGCTTGTGACCGCCCTGCTCATAAACCTGATCTTGTGGCACATCAGACGCTTCCGTGCCCGCCTCAGGCTGCTCGTCCTTGCCGCCCTCTGCAAAGATAGCGCCCACTGCCAGGGTCCCACGAGGGCGGTGTTGAAGCTGATGCCATCCCGGGCCACCTTCGAGTGGCCCATCCTCGGATGGTGAGACCAATGAGAGGCGTGAGTCGGAGGGTAGGACCAGGGAAAGATGGGCCTGTGGCTTCCTCCCAGGTGCCCATTTCAGGGCTCCGCGTGTTCACATAGCAAACTGATATCTGCAGAGGCACTGCTCCAGTAGCTGCAGAGAAGCTCCCCAGTCGTCCCGGGCTGCCAGGACCTGTAGCCATGACTTGGACCAAATCCAGCCCGAATGTAGTAACATATGCGTTTCTCGTGCATGTTCCATCACATTCAGGAAAAATAACAGCCTGACCAAGTGTGCACAGAAGGTTCACACACCTCTAGTTGCGGGGAAGAAACAGGTTAACAAGCACAGGAACCAACGAATGAAAAGGTAGCACTGCAGGTCTGACATAGGACGAGGCGCCAAACAACCTCAAGCGCCCAAAAGAAAACAAGCTGGAGGTAAATAGGGATCCGGTTTTGAAAACCATCTGTTGGGCGAACTTCACATTTCTGAGCCATTTGGATGATTTCAAACACGATAGCCCACAAAAGCGATAGCTGCCAAATGGCCGAGTTGAAGGTGATCTGGTCCGCCTCTAGCTTCTGTCGAAACACTTGGCCTCGGCCGCGTGAGCCGCGCGATGCAAAATGGGATATGCCCCTGAATTCGAGCAAACTAGAGCCACATCCAAGGAGCGGAAGAGGCCCAAAGCCGCAGCCCAGGCCCTTGATTTGGCGCAAGCGCTGATGGCTGTGTTGAAGCTGACGACATCAGGCACTGCGAAACTTGCAAACCTCAGGCTGCGGGGGCCCCTTTTTGGACAAAGATTGGTGTGGCCCTCCATTTTAGGAAGCCCGCCGATAATTGTAAAGAGTTTTATTTACGGCTCTAAGAGGACACGCCTGAAGGGGAGAATCCTGGCTTCCCGCTAACTTCTGCATGAGTGGACGAGCAGTGCTGAATTGGATTTGCCGGCTCGTAAGCAAACTGCCTCTTATTGAAGCAGAGTGGACAAAATCTGTCCTCATTGTAACATGGACAACAGCCTACTCATCGTATATGTGCTTGAGTCAGTTGTGCATTTGCACGCTCGCTCTCTCGCTTTTTGCTCTTTTTCTTTCTTCTTTTTTGTTTCTCTCTCTCTCTCTCTCGCTCATTCTGCACATTATCTGTGAGCTGGACAACGTGATCAAGGGGTTTGCAGCTGCTGCAACCAAGGCCCTTCGACCGGGAAGAATCTACTTGCTGGCACGAGGCATTTGCGAGAGGATGCACACGGCAAACTCCCACTTACCAGTTCTCTCGAAGGCATGCATCGCGGAATTGAAACCTATGTGGCACGATGCGCGACACTGCTTCAATGCCGCTTGAGATCACAGAACACGTGTCCAACAGAAAGTCAGCGCGTTTGGACCAATCAATCCTTCGACCGGTTACTCTCATATTGTGACAAAATCCGAATGTGTTGCTCCCGCGTGCAAGTGACTCACAACCCGACAACTGGCTGCAGCTGAGGCACAAATCACATTGGCAGACACCCCCGCCATCAAACCCCAGACCTGCATGGCAGCATCCCAGGTGCCTGCACATGCTTTGAAGGCTGCTGAGATGTGATACCTCAGCTACGTGAACTTGGCCCCTCTCAGGCCCAAACGAAACCAACAACTCAAAGTGGGAAAATCATTGCACGGAACGGATCGCAGGTTAAAACAAACACCTACGTACGCTGTAACGGCTGGCTCGCATGCTGAATAGGTTGATTTCAGGCGTGTAGGGAACTGAGCAAAGAAGTTTTTTGAGTCTGGCTTTTGTTGGATTCCTGTGGTTGGTTGTTCATCGGAGACTACAGCAGACCACAAACCCCTCTAGACGATGCCGCACGCCTACAGCCAAAGCCTCCTAAGCTAGCCTCAGAAAGGCGAGGAACGTCGTAGAAAGCCTTGAAGGCAAGGCTGAGACAGCCCCAATGCCAGCCGATGCCAGCAGGGTGGTCTTCGGAAACTGCCGTGGCAAGCTATGATTTCGGGGATCGCGCTCAGTGGCAACATCCATGTTTGATTCAAAACAACATTTACATTATCATTAGGAGTGAGAATTCATTTCACTTCGCGCGTTGCCGCGCAATTGCGCTCATGCCAAAGCATGTGGTTGCCACCAACATACATGGAAGTATATTCTGCGAACCAAGTAGTTTCTGAACTTCGGAGAGACTTCCAACAGGGTTTGTGCATGCAACCACGTTGGTGCGGGGGTATCACCCAAGTTTGATATAATGGAGACAACCTTTGCCACATATGAGGCACGGTCAAAATTACTTACTTACGGCCGTTTCGCTACTTACTTTGAGAGTCCCCTATCGTTTTCCAGCATGTCCATCGTTTTCCAGGGGTATCGTTTTTTTGAGTCCCCTATCGTTTGCCATGGTTTTGTGCATTTTCACAATATCAACGAAACGACGAATACTAAACTCAACAGAAGTAATTTTGACGGTGCTTCATATCAACAACCATAATCCAAGGCGCTCATTGAGATCTGCTCTGCTGTCCGTGAACTTCTGCAGCAGATCCAGAGCGGCCTCTGGTTGTTCCACTGACGCCAGCGCCTGGTGGGAAATGGGTCGCAACCAAGACTGGGCTGGCCCCCAAACAGTTTATCTGTTTTCTGGCTAACTGCAGAAAGTGAGCCTCGTTTGCTGGTTAGAAGAGGAAGCGCCATGTTCAAATACGCTATAACATGAATGTGGAATGTCAAACCACAGAAGAATCAAACCGGGCAGGGCGAGTCAGCCGTCCGAATTCTCCCAAGGTGCTCGTGCAAAGAGTGGGTTCTCGAACAACAACCATCACTTGCACAAAACAATTTATAACGTACAACTCAACATGTGAGCTTCGCTATCAATCGGATATTTCTCGGAGGCCAGCCAAAGGATTCATCCATCCATCCCTGAGCCCGAGTGCGTGCGAGTGTTTTTTTTTGAACTTCCATGCTGCTTCCGCAGAGCCCTGGCGAAGTGGTCGAGGGCGGTAGCGAGTGCGCCTGCATCAGCTCCCTGGATGCGTGCATCGAGGCCATGGCTCCGGCGGCGAGCCATGGCGAATGGAAGGCTTTGGTGCTGACAGCAGGCGCATGTCACGCCATTAAATACTTTGGTTCGCCTCCCTCCCAAGACCCGGGGAGCACCCAAAGGATGTCAAGTTGTAGCACTAAACATTGGTGAAATTGTCGAACCGCAACATCCTTTTGCATGACTGAGGCTGTTAGGCATCAATGCCATGCGTTCCGAAGAGAAATGTCACACCGCTTTTCCTGGTGGATTGATCTGCTCAACATTCGGTGGCAATATGGTTCAGCCACTGGATCTTGCGCCTGCCTTCGTTGCAATCGCTGGGCCGAAGCATGTTGAACAGAGCAGCAAAGCTTTGCTGCGTTGGCACTAAGTGGAAAGCAGCTGTATTGGTCAAATTACGTTTGAAACGGGGCCCAGGATAGGCTCTTGACAAGTGCTCGCATGCAGCATCCCCAAGCTTGCACGCCCACGTGTATGACTGGCCAAGGGGAAAGTTGCAATGACAACGGCTCCGCTGTCAGAGTGCAATTGAAGCAATGTAGCTGTTTACAAATAGGACTCCATGCATCTGAGCAGTGCATTGTTGGACCGTCAAATAGGAGGCAACCATGCCATTTAAAGCCAGCAAGGAAGCCCACCCTGCCGCAAAAGTCGGTGATTGTGAACTCCACAATGCATTCCTTAAACTTGGGGTTGAACTCAGCAGGGTCCATGCAAGGAATGGGATCGCGGTCTCTCTGAAGATTACTTGCTGAGCCAACACGAAACACACTGTCAGAGGGGCCCCGTTGTCAAACAAACCAGCTACAATAGTATAGAATGTACTAGTAGCGCCGTCAGAGTTTCGAAAAATATGTGAGTTATAGTTATCTTGTTCTTTCTCATTTTTCCTCTCTTAATTGTCTCTTTTTGTTTTGCGTTTCTCTTGTTCCTTCTCTTTCTCTTCTCTGTCCGTGTCTCTTTCTTTTCTCATTCGCTTTCTGTTCTCTTTCTCTTCTCTTTCCTTCCCTTTCTCTTTCTCTTTTTCTTCTGTTTTTCTTTTGTTTTTTAGCTTGATTTCTCACTTCTCGTTCTCTTTCTGCTCTCCCATCTCTCTATCTGTACATATTTATCTATTCACCTATTTATCTATGTGCCTATCTCTCTACCTATCTACCCATCTCCATCTATTTCATCGATCTGTCAACCTACCCATCAACCTGTCTATCTATCTACCTTCTCTCTGTCTACTTGTCTCTGTATCTACCTACCTACTTATCTATCTATGTATTTATCTGTCTATCTACCTACTATCTATCTATCTATCTATATCTATCTATCTATCTATCTATCTATCTATATCTATCCATCTATCTATCTATCTGTCCGTCTATCTTGCACCTGTCCTGAAATCGGATCGCCAATCAAACTGCTGCTCCTGCTACACAAGCTAAACCTCAGGCCTGTCACACAAATTCGTGTCGCGAAAAGCGCGCGCGCCGTGCCAGTGGGCCCGGTGCCACGCCCCTTCCCACCCCGCCAAGAACAGGTCCGCGCCGGAGAGGGTTTGCGCTTCGGAACTCGCAGGGCGCTCGCTTTGAGCGCTTTCTATCCCCAGGCGCTGCGCCTGTCACGCAATCTGAACACCTGTCACCTCTTTCTCTTTGCCTCTCTTTTCTTCTCTTTTTTTTTAATGTATCTTTTCTTCTCTTCTTTTCTCTTTTCTTTTCCTCCCACTCTCGAATCTACATTTTCACGACAATCTTCTCTTCTCTTGCTCTCTTTTCGCTGCTCCCGCTCTCATCTACTTTCAAACAACAGCAAGTACTACGGACGGTTTTTCTTGATTAACTCCACGGAGTTGCACGGCAAGGGCATCCCCTCAGTGTCCACCTTGTGTTACTTGAAATGATCAAAAGGGGTCCCAATTTCTTAGGGACCCAACATCGATTTTAACCTGCTTCACTCCATCCACACTTGGGCATCTGTTCGACGCTCCCCCGCCTCTGAAAGGCTAAAGGCGCCCAACTCCACACGGCTACAGGGAGTGGTCCGCGTGCCAAGGTGCAAGCCCCTCAGATTGCACAGCTGGAGGTCTCTGCTTATCCCTCGACTGTTCTGGCACGGACCTTTTTCTATCTGATGCTATACCCAAGGAATGACTCCTCAGTTTGCGCGGTTGGAAGTCAGCCATTTGCACATTTGCCGATTTGCCCTGTTGGTGCTGGCTGTCTTACGGCACACGGAAGCAACAAAACAACATGAGTGAGGCCAGCCTCCCAAAGCGAAGTAGCTTTAGACCTTACAACAATACATCAATAATCACCACCACGCGCAGCAAGGTGTCCAGGATCATGCGCAGGCGTGTCAGCCTGCAACTGCATATGCTTTGACCCTGCAGCGCTTAACTTATGTTCATATTCCATGTTCTTTTTAGCACGGCCTGGCCGGGAAGTTGGTATATGGAGTGTGAGTCACAGGGTCGGATTGGAATGGTTGGCGGAGCGGCAGGGCGAATTAGTATTTGCTAGTGGCTCAAAAAGATGTACCCAAAATGGCCTCGTGGCAAATGGAAACAAAGACTAAAGCCTGCGCAACCCCCAGCTCTTTAACTTTGAGCCACACCCATTTGTACGATTGCGAAAGGGGTCGAGATATGCTTTCCTTTTGTTTGCGATTGCGCTGCAAAAGTGCGTCCAGAAGGCACGGCCCAAAATCGGGAATTTGTTGGCATTTACTAGCTTGCTTTGGCATTCGTCAGCTTTTGTAGCGTTGGCTAGTTTGCTGTCATTTTCGTACGGCTGCCTTGTGGGCTATCATAAGGGATATGGCTTGGATTGTCAGAAATTCCAATATGGTGTGCGAACGTGCAAAGTTGGCAGCGAAGCGATGTCGGAAAACATGGGGGATGTTACGTGTGTCTACTGATTTGCTTCTGTAAGGTGGCAGGTAAAAGCCACCTTTTGATACATATCCATGCGTTCCGTATCTTCGAGCGCAGCTGGCGGCTACAAGTGTGTGCTAATTAGCGCCCGCAAGAGGCAACATTTTGCAGGGAGACAATTGAAACTTGGCAGCGCTGGCCAGATTCCAACACTTCTCTGTGCTGAGCTAGCACGCTCAAACACTTGACACTTCTCCAACCTAGTGAAGACCCAGTCGCTTGTGTAAAGAGGGGTTGTTAGCCTTGTTAAGCTTTGTGTAGCTTTAGCAGCCTTCTATAGCCATCTTTAGCTTTCAATAGTTTTCCGTTGGCAATTGTCTGTCCCTACATTTTGGGCCAGCCGCTCAAAGCGGGCTGTTACAACTCAAACAATGCCAGCAGGCCCGCGGAACATGAGTCGGGTGCTTCAGGCAGGCATGAGCCATTCCCGAAAGATAGAAAACGATAACACAATGCACGGACAGGGAAGCCAGGACTTGCACACCATTGTAAATAACTCACATATCTCATGGCCCTCTGAAATTCATCTGATGGCTTCCACAAAAGCCAGGATAGTGGGTAAACTGGTTTCCTGACTGGGGCTGCCCGATGCAATGCTGGATACTGGTTCCAAAAGCAGTTCCTGCGCTACTCGCCACTGCAGACTCGCTTTTGGAATGCCTGAGCTCCTTGCAGTGACATTGGGGCTAGCATGCCATTGTCAAGAACAGCTGTTCCAACTGCTCTCCAGCTCGAAAGCAGCCACGCTTGAAATAGATGTGTGTTGCTTCTAACTATGAACAACAAAGAAACCCTTGTTGTCATTGACACGTCATGATTTCAACTCCTGTTTAAAAAAAGGCAAATGAGCACAGACCGTGGTGGTTCTAAGCAAGACTCACAGGGAGCTGAGAGCGCAGCGCTGGCAAGCGAGGGTTCTGGGGACTCGGCTGCCTAGCGGAACAGCTGCAGTACGAACTGACTGAAACAAAGAGATACTGTCATATCATAGCAACGAACGGCTGCAATTTTCAACGCTTGAGGACTTGAGAGCAAACCAGTCCGCAAGAACCAGATTGAGCTAGGAACACTGAGGACAAACACCGAAAGACATATTGCTAATATCCAGTAACGTTCAAGGAGTGCGGTGAAATTCACAACATCAGGCAAGCTTGAGCTGAAGTAGAACTTCGACCTTCGCCAACAGGGTAGTTCTGAGGCCGATTGCAACTTCCTGGCATGGACCCTCTCCTACACCTTTCCGGTCACACGCTGAACTTAACGCTTTGCCTTGCAGTCTTACGCCTTTGTTCAAGCACGGAAAACATGTTCAGCCCAAGCAAACAACTGTTATGCTAGCGAACGTCGCAAGCAACACACAGAGGCAACACAGCGTCACTAGTTGATGCTCGACCATGTGACTAGTATCAGAAGGGCATAACCAGATTGCTTCAAGCAAGGTGGCTTCAACAGAAGTGGGAGCGCTGGGCAAGCAGCTCGAGTGCTTTCTAGCAAATTTCCCGCAACTTTCTTCCATCCACCTCCTACAATTCGCTACCAATTCCTATGAATCTCCAACCAGGGTCCAGCGGAAGGGGGTGCGGGGGGGGGGGGGGGGCAAGTGCATGCGCGTCGGGGGCAGTGGAGCATGGCAGCTTCTATGAGCACATGCATTTGCAGTTCACAGGGGCGATCAGGGACTCATCCAGCTCGAGAAGCGTTATTGGCAAACTCATCCGCGCCCTGAAATATTTGGGCCATCCGCGGCCTACAGAAGACAAACGCAATACTGCCCAGTACGCACCTGCGCACACTATTTGGGGTCATCCGCGCCCACGCCCGTGCAACATGCTGACCCAGGGCAAGGATGACCCCCATCCCGAAGAAACTCCCATGAAGTTTCAATGAATTTCCAGCGAGCTGCCATGGATTGTCCATATTCAAGTGAGATTCCCAAACATCCAATTTCGGGAGCGTGCTAAGTCCACATGCAAATAGATTTTTCAATCGAGCCGACATATTGTATAGCCAAAGAACATAAGGTAAAGGGTAGAGGTTTTTGTGAGCTCTGTCGAAATGAGCATGTCGCAGATTGATGCGCGCACATTCGCAGCCACAAAGCTGTTTCTTCGTTGCTCGAATGAGTGGTAGCATAGTC